GAAGGGGAAGACAGTAATGGACAGAATAATGTTGGAGATTGCTACAGATACGGGATTGGAATTACAAAAGACGAAGAGAAGGTATTTCATTGGTACTTAAAATCGGCCGAGGGTGGGAATAGTCAAGGTCAATGCAATATTGGTGACTGTTACTTAAATGGAATTGGAACCATAAAAGATGAAAAAAAGGCCTTTCATTGGTACTATAAATCTTCTGAAGGTGGGAATCACGAAGGGCAAAATAATCTTGCAAATTGTTATCGAAAGGGAATAGGAACTGAAAAAGATGAAGAAACAGCGTTTAAGCTGTACTTACAATCCTCCGAAGGTGGAAACAGTAAAGGGCAGAATAATCTTGGAGACTGTTATAAAAATGGAATTGGAACACCAAAAGATGAAGAATCTGCATTTAGGTCATATCAGAATTCGGCCAGAGGGGGGAATAATCAGGGGCAAAACAATTTAGGAGATTGCTATCGGTATGGAATTGGAGTCGCGAAAGACGAAGAAAAGGCTTTTAAATGGTATTTAAAATCCGCTGAGGGTAGAAATAATATTGGGCAATACAATCTTGGATATTGTTACCAAAATGGAATTGGAACTACAAAAAATCAAAAGAGAGCATTTCAGTGGTATTTAAAATCTGCTCAAGGAGGAGATAGTGATGGACAATGTAGTCTCGGGTATTGCTATCAAAATGGTATTGGAACCGAAAAAGATGACGAGGAAACATTTATATGGTACTCTAAATCGGCCGAAGGTGGAAATCATCAAGGAGAGAATAATCTTGGTTATTGTTACCAATGTGGAATTAAAATCCCAAAGGATAAACAAAAGGCTTTTCAATTGTATTTAAAGTCTGCCAAAGGTGGAAATACCGATGGTCAATGCAATCTTGGATACTGTTATCGAAATGGAGTTGGAACAACAAAAAATTCCAAAGAAGCATTTCAGTGGTATTTGAAATCAGCTGAAGGAGGTAACCATCAAGGGCAGAATAACCTCGGATATTGCTACCAAAATGGGATCGGAATTGCAAAAAATGAAGAAAAAGCGTTTCGATGGTATTTGAGATCAGCTAGTGGAGGAAATAGCTATGGGCACATTAGCCTTGGATACTGTTACGAAAAAGGTATTGGTGTTGCAAAAGATGGAGAAAAAGCATTACAACAGTACTTGAAATCAGCAGAATGTGGAAATGACCTTGGACAGTTTAATGTAGGGTATTGCTATCAAAATGGAATTGGAACAAAAAAAGATGAAGAAAAAGCATTTGAATGGTATTTAAAATCTGCGGAAGGTGGAAATAATTTAGGACAATGCAATCTTGGATATTGCTATCAAAATAAAATTGGAACTAAAAAAGATGAAAAAAGGGCATTCCGATGCTTCCTAAAATCAGCTGAGGGTGGTAATCATCAAGGCCAAAATAATCTTGGATATTGTTACCAAAATGGAATTGGAATTGCAAAAGACGAAAAGAAAGCATTCCTATGGTACTTGAAATCTGCAGAAGGTGGAAACCATGAAGGGCAGAATAATCTTGGTGACTGTTACAAATATGGAATTGGAACAATTCAGGATGATGAGAAAGCATTTCAATGGTATTTTAGATCCGCAGGTGGTGGAAGCCACCAGGGGCAATATAATCTAGGTTCTTGTTATCTCAAAGGAATTGGAATTGAAAAAGATAACAAAGAGGCATTTCGATGGTATTTGAAGTCTGCTGAAGGCGGAAATCATCAGGGACAAAATAATCTTGGAAATTGCTATCAATATGGAATCGGGACTAAAAAAGATGAAGAAAAGGCCTTCCACTGGTATTTAGAATCCGCTAAAGGCAGAAATCATCAAGGACAAAATAACATAGGAGATTGTTATCGAAATGGAATTGGAACATTGAAAAATTCAAAAGAAACGTTTCAGTGGTACTCTAAATCAGCTGAAGGAGGAAATAATCAGGGGCAGAACAATTTAGGAGATTGCTATCGGTATGGAATTGGAGTCGTGAAGGACGAAGAAAAAGCTTTTAAATGGTATTTAAAATCCGCTGAGGGTAGAAATAGTATTGGGCAATATAATCTTGGATACTGTTACCAGAACGGAATTGGTACGGTAAAAGATGAAAGGAAAGCGTTTCAATGGTATTTAAAATCTGCTCAAGGAGGAGATAGTGATGGACAATGTAGTCTCGGATATTGCTATCAAAATGGTATCGGTATCGAGAAATATGACGACGAAGCATTTATATGGTACTTAAAATCGACTGAGGGTGGAAATCATCAAGGAGAAAATAATCTTGGTTATTATTACCAATACGGAATTAAAGCCTCAAAAGATAAAGAAAAGGCTTTTCAATTGTATTTAAAGTCTGCCAAAGGCGGAAATACCGATGGCCAATGCAATCTTGGATATTGTTATCATAAAGGAATTGGAACAATAAAAAATGAAAAAGAAGCGTTTCAGTGGTATTTGAAATCAGCCGAAGGTGGTAACCATCAAGGGCAGAATAACCTTGGATATTGCTACCAAAATGGAATTGGAACTACAAAAGATGAAGAAAAAGCGTTTCGATGGTATTTGAGATCAGTTGAAGGTGGAAATAGTTATGGATACATTAGCCTTGGATACTGTTACGAAAAGGGTATTGGTGTTGCAAAAGATGGAGAAAAAGCATTACAACAGTACTTGAAATCAGCAGAATGTGGAAACAATCTTGGACAGTTTAATGTTGGATATTGCTATCAAAATGGAATTGGAATAAAGAAAGATGAAGAAAAAGCTTTTGAATGGTATTTAAAATCTTCAGATGGTGGAAATAATTTAGGACAATGCAATCTTGGATATTGCTATCAAAATGGAATTGGAACTAAAAAAGACGAAAAAAGGGCATTCCGGTGCTTTTTAAAATCAGCCGATGGTGGAAATCATCAGGGACAAAATAATCTTGGGCATTGTTATCGTAATGGAATAGGTACCGCAAAAGATGAAGGGAAGGCATTTCAGTTGTACTTGGAATCAGCTGAAGGCGGAAATAAACAAGGACAAAATAATCTTGGTGATTGTTATAAAAATGGAATTGGAACAATAAAAGATGAGGAGAAAGCATTTCAGTGGTATCTAAAATCTGCTGAAGGTGGAGATCATCAGGGACAGAATAACATTGGAGACTGTTATCGATATGGAATTGTAACCACTATAGAAAAAACAAAAGCATTTCAGTGGTACTCGAAATCTGCTGAAGGTGGAGATAGTAAGGGGCAGAATAATCTTGGGGATTGTTATCTAAAAGGTTTTGGAGTTGCAAAAGATGGGGAAAAGGCTTTTCGGTGGTATTCGAAATCTTCTGAAGGTGGCAATTCTCAGGGACAATGTAATCTCGGAGATTGTTATCAAAAAGGAATTGGAACATCCAAGGATAAAGAGAAGGCATTTCAATGGTATTTAAAATCTGCAGAAGGTGGAAGCCAACAGGGAATACACAAAGTCGTGGATTGTTATCAAAATGGAATTGGTGTTGAAAAAGATGAAGAAAAAGCTCATCAGTGGCATTTTAAATCTGAAGAAGGTGAGCAAATGGAATAGAAAATAAATATTAATAAAAATAAGATGTTATGTATATCCGTGTTTGAGTGTTTTTATGCTAATATTTATAACATATTAACTCGACATATCAACGTTCTAGCTTCGTCAAAGATTTTATCTTAATAACACAGCTGTTAAATCATTTATTGTTAATATTAATATTAATTTAATACAGTCAAATCGGCTAGTTAATTATGAGATTATAAAGCCCTTCATAGCTTAAAAGCACTTATTAACATTATCAAAATTTCCATTATTAATATAATAAAATATCTTATAGTAAATGTATTATTTAATTCATTATTAGCAATTAATTTTTTTTAAGTTGCTTATTAGTACTATAATTATACAGTACTGGGTTTTTTTAACGGGTGATCGACAAATTTATTGCTATCGCTATTGTGTCTGGAATTTTTTAATATAAGGCGTGTTTACGATTTGGCCGACATCTTCACTATTGACTTTGCTTCACTTTATGCATGTTTTCATTTAATAAATTATAATTATGATGATAATGAAATTAACAAAAGTAAAACAAAAGTTCATGGCGGAATAAATACCGATTTTCACATAGTTAACATATTACATATTTATTAGAAGGCATTGTAGCTGTCAGGAAGTCTTCAAAATTATATTTTTTGCACAATTAAACAATGTTAAATAGAGGCTTGTTATTATCTTTCAAGAGAACCATACAGATATATTTTTTATTATATTAAGTAAATTTTAAATCAATGTTTTAAAATATATTAAATAAATATATTGTTATTTTTACTTCAACCAAATTGCATACTAATGTGTTTATTAATCTATATCATAAAACAATAGTACATATTGCTATAATATCAAAGCTAAACAATTTTTATGTGGTAATAAATTATTATGTGATCTTTGAATCCTTAGTATCAAAATTACTATATTGCCTTACATAATTTGTTGTTTGCTAATTAGTTCATTACAAGAGAGTAGATTTATCAAGCTATTATTGTATGATATTAACTATTTAAGACTTTCAAATCCTTTAACTCTTTATATATGATTAAAAAAAAAAAGATACAAAAGTAATTTATATTTTATTTTAAAAAGTTATAAGAAATCTATATTCCAGACTTTTACCTTAATATAAACTCTATGATTAGTAAAAGGAATCAAAGATAGTCCATGATGTACTTTAAAATTACTACGTAAGTTGAATATTCAATAAAATAAATTGAATACAGTAAAACTTATGCTCGCGTTTTGTACAATCGAACGCAAATTTGATTGTTCACATTTACGTTATAGAGATATTTATAGGCACAATGTGTGTGCGTATAATACAGCGTGTCTTCAGACCTAATGATGTTGGTATGTAAGCTTCACATCATGTTCAAGAACTTTGACTAATTTAATCACTATGAATTTATAGAGGCACTATGGAACTACAAGATGATTCACATAAAACGTCGGAACCACAGCTAACTAAAGCAAAACTTGATGAATGCCGTCTCGCGGGATATGAAAAATGTGAATATTGTGAACAAGACAAAACTGACATCAGATGGTGTAAGACATGTAATGCTGAGCACTTCTCGAAGCTTCAATGGGAAAGTGGCAACAATATAATCGACAGTTTTATTAGGGGTATTCAAAATAGAGCCGTTAATCATCATAGAGTTCTGGAATGGGTTTCATTCAAAAATTTCGAGAATGTTGAATGTATTGCAGAAGGCGGTTACGGAATTGTGTATAAAGCCAAATGGATAGGCGGGCGCATTCTTTACTTTGATAGTAAGACTCAGGATTGGCATAGAAGTGGAGATATGGATGTTGTTCTTAAATGTTTACATAATTTGAATAATACAACCGAGCAAACCGAGCAGTTTTTAAAGGAAGTAAGTTGTTTTCTATTCTGTTTTAATTAATAATATGCTATTATTAAATGTAATTTATGCATTTGATCGTCAAATGCAATCACATTATGAGCTTGGCAATACAGTCGAATGTTTTGGAATAACAAAGATCCTAATACTAAGAAATTTATGATTATAATGAATTTTATGGAAGATGGCAGTCTTCGTGATTATATAGGAAACAAATTTTCAACTTTAACGTGGATCCAAAAATTGGAAATATTATATACAGCGGCTAACGGTCTCTACAATATCCATGAGGCAAAATTAATTCATCAAGATTTGCATACTGGAAACATCGTTCTCTCAGGTCAAACATCTTATATTACAGATTTTGGATTTTGTCAACCGGATAATTATAAATCATCGGAGGGAGCAAAGAAAAGTGAAATATTTGGTGTATTGGCATATCTTGCACCAGAAATTTTATGTGGAGGAAAACACACAATGGCAACAGACAAATATTCATTCGAAATATTAATAAACGAAGTAGCGTCAGGATGCCCCCATTTTATAATATACCACATTATCCTGATCTTGCGTTAAAAATTACTTTAGGTTCTCATCCAGAGACCAATAAAAAGATAACTCCGCTATTCGTCATTAATTTGATTAAAAGATGCTGGAACCAAAATCCCGAAGATCGACCACAAGCAAAAGAGTTGCAAAAATGTCTCGGGGATTGGTATTTCCAATCAAAATCAAAAAGCTTCCATGAACAAAAGATCAAGTTGAAAAAATGGAAAAATCGCAAAACTTTGAAAAATACTTGAATATTTTACCATGCAAAAGTACTTCGTCAGAATTTTATAATTCCTATATAAGTAGTAGAGTGAGCATTGTGAAATCCGTGAGAGTATCTCACATCGAATCTGCGTCAGGTACGTATAATAAATTAGCAAATTTTAATATTATTCACCGAATACAGTACAGTACTGATAATTATGTTTTTAGACAGTGGTGTTTATGGTCTGATGATCCCCGATGAGAATGATGAAGTAAATACTGTAATAACCAAGCTTAGCATGTGCCGTAATAGATATTGTAAAAGCTTATTTATTTGCTATTTTTGGAATAAATATATACTGTATATAGGTGTGTGTGTGTTAAATAAGAACAAATATCTTAATCATTGTATTAATCTCTGTAGCATTTTAACAGTACATGTGCAACTTGTTTACTTTGACTATACTCCTACAAAAAAAAATCGATCATCTACAATAAAAATTATTTTATCAATGTCACGGTTAGATAACGAACGTTAGTATGCTAATCATTCAAGCGGGATAAGTCACCCCGGGTCAGATGTTTCAGAAGGATGTTGCGAGATGCATTGTGATAAATCGCATCGAGCGCACTTGTAAACCTTTGCATCACCGAGATTGTCTTTATGTTTTCACAATTCCCGCGCGTCTTGGATATGTAATGCTCATCACAAGACTATCAACAATCGACCACGGTACTCTTCGATCTTGTTTACGAGATAATGTTGGAACTTGCAATGCGACTATGTCATCATCCTCGTGGTCTTGCTCTTGATCTTTTGATTGTATTCTTTTTAAGATTTTTGATATCATTAGACTCCCCAGTTCTTGAGTCTTGAATATTTGCTTCTTTTTTCTCACCATTTTTCTGTTTTCAATCGTGCAATTTCTTCTTTAACCATTTAATAATCTTTCCATTGGTATCATATCCTAACATGAATCTGCGCATGCCAGGATTATGAAATAATTATCTTCTCGACGATTTTCTTCCAATAGTATGCACTCCAAATATCAATGGCATTTTTTATTTTGGGAAGGTCTTTATATGCTTAAAAACGTATATTCATCTTTTTTTCATATGAAACACCTTTTTCAATAATAATTGTTTGTGGTTTCTACCTTTTTTATTTTTCTTGATCGTAAATTTTTTTATTCAATTTAAGATTTGTATCGTATGCTTTTAAAATTCGGACAGCGTGCAATTGCATATACCAGGAATTTCCTTCACCTAAGCATTCTCTAGTTGATATTTGTCGTTATTAGTCACTCGTTTTCTCAAATGTTTTTTGGTTCTGTGTCCTTTTCTTATTAGATCGAGAAATCAATTATATGTTCATGAGATTTTACCAGCTTTAGCTTTAATTGGTTTTATTCATTATCATCATTTAATTAGTGTGAATAATATATAGGAAGCAAGAAAGAATAAAATTAATAAAGACAGATGGTGGGGGTTTTTTTGATCATCAAATCCGCCTCGCCTTTATTAAAGCACTACTGTTGCTTACTGATCGTTATGCGAACCTTTAATCTTAGCGACGGACTCGCCAGTTACCGTTATAACGTGGATCTTGCGTGACTTCAATTTCTCGTCTTTTTTTTGTTTGCGACAGTCCTAAGATCATTTCATTATATCTAGCTGTGAGCACCATGACGATAGTATATATCCTATGCAAATTCGCCTGTGTCTGAATCTGTTGATCCGACATCCGTACCGAGAACCACGAGTTTGACATCGTGTTTCTGAAAAATCCACTTGACAAGCTCGTGTGCAAATCGGCACCATATTACCTAATGATCCAGAAGAAAACGAAATCTTGTTATTCATACCACATTGGAGCAATCCAATAATTTATCTTTAAAACATAGCAATAAATATAGCGATTATTATGAATATTCAGGAACATGTCCAACATGTAATGAAGAGCATAAAGGGTATGATGTGGAAGGTCGGTGGAGTGATAGAATTACTGTGGCGAAAAAACTTATCGTCTCTATTGTCGTAATAAAACTAACTTTTAGTAGAAATAAATTAGAGGGTCAAAGGTCACTCTGTCATCATTTAAGTGACACTCCGAGCATAAATAATTATTCCATTTTTCCATGTGACTCGCGTAACTTTACTGTGACACTTCTTCCAATAAGATTTTGAATAACAAAGCCAGTTGCTAATCATCTTTTTTTTTTCCGTTTCGTACAACCTGTATATCCAAAAACATGTCTGATTCCAACCCACTATCAAATATAAAAGGAGAAATCAATCGTCTTGGGTTTGTTTCAGGCGAAAAAATAAGTTTACTCTCTCACTTTGCCGAAAATGCGGAAAAAATTGCTGTTGCAGTATCCTGTCTTGATGATTTTGATACAGATGAAGATAAACGTAGTTATTTGAGGTCTCTAATCTCTCCACCTAGTATGTTCTAAGATAATGTTACTTAAACTCTCGTTTTCTGTCACATTTGCCAATAATACTGAATACTTGCTTATTCATGTGCTTTTCTTTCCTGCTTCTTATCATCAACCGCCCAAAAAACACATTCGCGTTACCGTAGAACAACCCGTTGCTGGTAAGTGAGTCGTAATAAAATAGTCAACGCGAGTAAATGTATTATGGCTTAACTTTTTGATTTGTTGTTATATTTTTGTCTTTCAAAATCTAACCAATATTTTATTTCACTTCAGGCAGAGAACAAGGTAACTTTTCTGATATTATTTAAAAATGTTGATTATATATTAACGCTTTGTTTATCTTACAGAATTAAAGAGACGTTTTGATGAGATTAGTTTCAAAATTGACGAGATGAATCGTGAATTTAAGAGGGAATTGAAGAGGATACGTTTTACTGCGGATGCATGGTACAGTGCTATAGGTATGTATTTGCCTAGTTTTTCAACTATTTCTGGAAATGTCATTAACAATTTGTGTTTAGGTACTCATACAAAAACCAAAAAGGGTAAATTTGTGAAAGAAAGAGGTGTTGAAATTCTGTTTCCGCTTGGTTTGACCGAAAGTTTAAAATCAAAGTCACCTGGAAAGTTTTTACAACCGCCTAATATGGACAAGTGCGCAAATCCAATAGAAGAAAAAGTACAAGATTAATTTATGGATGAATGCAAGGCACTAGAAAATTATGCAAACATACAAAACAAACTTATTGTTAGAGATACCCGTTTTTCACCATTGCTGGATACAGATTTTGTATTCATTCCGAGCGATTATCCTTTGGATCCGTTAAGTGTTATAGCCATTGGTGAGATCAAGAAGCGAGTTAGTGGAAGTTTTAGCAATGCAGATATAGGACATGTAATATCATTTGGAGAAAAAATACTCCAACTTCAGCCACGACGAAGCTACGTGTATGTAGTGTTGACAGATTGTATCATCATCAACATATATAGGGTGAACAGAAATGAAAACCACTCGGAAGAATACACCCAGTTCACATATAACTACATAAAAAGTGAATATTTAACATACAACACGCAAGCTAGTCTAACACACAACACACGAGCTAGTCTAACACACGACACGCAAGCTAGTCCTTCGAGAGGGTGGAGATACCTGGTAACAATAATCGAAAGCTCTCCAGAAAGACTGGGATGGGTTGAACCATCATTGAAATTTGGCGAAGAAACTGTAAAACTGGTTCGATCTATTGGTGTAGGCAAAACTAGTGTTGTGTATGAAGGAATATACAAAGACATATCTGTGGCTGTGAAAATGATAAAAAAGGCAAATTATTTGTCTTGCGTTGAAAGAGAAAGAGCTGTATTGGAGGAACTTTCGGAGTTGGGTTCACCTCATATCCCCAAAATTCTTTTTTACGATGAGAATACTCTTGTCATGACTCCTCTTGGTGTAAAAGTTAATAATTTACGAAAAACAGATATCAAGAATATAATCACCACCCTCAAACATGTGCATTCATACGAATATGTACATAGGGACCTTCGGAAATATAATTTTCTTCGTAATTTAGATGATTCAAAGGAATCTATTTTAATTATTGACTGGGGATTTAGCACAAAGAATCGCGAAGACACCGCATTTGCAGGAGCACTTGAATGCATGCCGGATGAAGTCCTGGAATCACTAACTAATGAGGAAGATATTGTTTATGGGCCAAAAGTTGACTTGATATGTTTTGTGCGATCATTCTATTTGATGCTACACAAACCATCAATGGAAAGAGTTGCCTTTGACAGAGATGGTGACATTAGGAAACTTGCACAGATGATGTTAAATTTTTGGAAAGATCGTAGTAAGTCAGACGTGTGGGATAACATTTATCAAGCAATAGAGGGCTTGGATTATGACAAATTAATTCAAGAGCTCGAAAGATTTTTTTGAGTTGCTAGTTTCGGATGACTTAATCATGTAACCTAAATAATCTTGTTATTGCTGTACCTAAAATATGTAAAAGCTTTGTGAAGATAGCTGAATAAAATTTTCGACTCCCAAATACAGTGTACTGCGCCCTCACTACACGTGCGTCGTGGAAAACCAGATATTGATATATTTTTCCATACGTAATAAAATCATGAATGCAGGAATAAAAAATCGTACTATTTCTTATGAAACATAAAGTGAAAATTGTAGTTAATACTCATCGGAAGATCATCATCGACTTATTAGAAAGATCAAGAAGTTGGTTCCATTCCTTGCGAAGATATAGAGGGTCTTCTTTTTCGATCACAATAAATTCCCTACTTTGCAAATTTTTACCAAGTATATTGACATCATGTCATCTTTTTGTATACCATCGGACAATGTTAACTAGTTCATATTATGTCCCACTGGCACTAAATAAAACAATATAATCAAGATTTTTTCTTATTAGTTTAGAATCTTTGTGTTTTGTATATTGAACTGATATTAGTATGTCACCCTTCACTAAAATATGAAGCAATTTTACCTTTATATTTTTAGGATCAGTGTATAAATATTCAAATACGATTTTTGCATTTTATCAGGCTTTGTTGCTTGGAATGTAATAGCTTTACAATATAGTTTTAGACCATTTGTAATTATTTGATAACAATATTTTAGATATTTGTATTTCAACTCATTAATATGATGTCCAATCAAAACCAAATTGTCAGTCTTAATATATCTTGTTTTATATTTTTTCCTGTTAAACAATCAATATATCTTATTTTTAAATAAAAGGTTAATAACTTTATTGGTTTTTTCTAATCTGGTTTATCCGCTAATTAATAAGTTAAAAAGCCATTGGAGTATACTATTTAAGGAGTTAAACTTTTTCAGTTTATTATATTCTTTAATGTTTAAAACTATTCTCTTGACAGGATCTAACTTTTTTATTTTCATATTGATCAAGATAAGTAATACTAAATTATTATATCAAAAAATAATGATCTTATAAGTTTATTCTTTATGTAATAAATAATTCTTCTTTTGTAATTTGCTTTTTATATAAGAAAACAAATCTGTATCATAACTAATTTCAATAAGATCTATATCTTGTTCCTTGCATAATTTTTGTTTTTTTTATCATATGTCTTTTGTAAATCTAAGTTATCTCAATTTTTGTAATTTAAGCTATTGCAATAAAAATGTTAAACTCTATTATACTTCCACACCAATTTTAGTTCTTCATTATATCCATAAAGTTTCAATATATTCAAGAATTTTGATGCACATAATAAAAATCTTTTATCCAGTAGATTCTCAAAAATATACTGACAATTTTTTTTACAAATATGTAAATAAAGTAGGCACCAATCAAATTTCTGCTCTAAAATTTCTAAGAAATACTTAAACTAATATAATTCATTTTCACAAACCCCAAAATATACATCATTCCATTATACTTTTTGATATATTGTTGCACTTTAATCATTTTATTAATAATATAAATGTAATTAAAAAATTTAAATAAGTATTTTTTCTAATATATTATAGAATAGATATTACAAAGTTTCTATTTTTACCAGTACAAGTTTCTTTTATATAAATGCATACTTTTGGAATATTTTTTATTATTACTTTCAAAATAATATAAACTGATTTATTTTTTTGTTATTATAATTTTGTAAATTTTATATAATAAAGAGCTTTGTATCAGATTTGTGCTTTTGTAATTTTTTAAACTTGATAAATCTTTTTACTTTTCATTGATAAACAAATAATAAATTATATCACTTTTCTTTAATCTGATTTCTTATATTTTATAGATAATCATAATTTATTCTTTTTTAATTTAATGATTTTTATTGATACTAACCTTAATTTAGATAAATATAAAACTTGAATAAAATATATTGAATAATTATTTAAGTAATTGATAATTTTTGACTAATACTTAATTCATGCTCTTATTAATTTAGAGTTTGGAATATATTTTCAAAGCTATATTAAATTTTATAAAGTATTTTTACAAGTGTTTTACAAAATTTGTTTACAATTGCTAAATTCTAATAATTATATATATCATTTAAGATTCCTAATAAAACTATTATATTTTTTACTATTTTACTTATTTCATATATAAATTTATATCCATGGTTTATATATATATGATTTTTTTAATATTATAAGCTTTATTATTATTTATAAGGTTATTTATTTTGACAAAATCAGAAATAAGTCAAATATATTATTTTATAATAAATATGAACAAAGTCTTATTATTTTACAATAACTATAGTATTTTATTGTTTTTATTTTAATTAAATATCTTATAAATCAAGTTCTAATCAAAAATTGAAATAAATAAATTAAGCTTTAAGAAATAAGTTATCTAATAAAGTTTAAATTAATAAATTGAATAAAAATATATAAAGGATTTAAAATGTAAATACATATACTATAAGAATGAAATTAAATTTTTTAATAAAAAACTGAAATGGTTTGAAAATAATTTTTTAAAAAAAGTTAGACCTATGAGTCTATAGCACAGTGGTAGTGCTCCATAGGTTACCAGGAGAAGGTCTAGAGTTCAACCCCACCTGGTTACAAAAATTTATCACCTTCATGATTGGTTGACCGGCTTCCAATTCATGTCGTACCCAAT